TAAAATCCAAGACAAAGAACAAGAAAACGGCAAAGCCATCCTCCCATACATAAAAGGCATCACAGACAGAATCAGTAAGATCCTCCATAAACACACCATCAAAACAGCATTCTGCACAAACAGAAAAATATCCACCATCCTTAGAAACCCCAAATATAAAATTGAATTAGAAAATCAAGGAGTATACGAAATCCCATGCACCACTTGTCCCACCACATACATCGGACAAACCAACAGAAGAATAAGTGCACGCATTGAAGAACATAAGAACTCAGTCAAAAAAGAGGAACCAACATCTTCCCTGGTCCAACACCTTAAAGCCACAGGACATGAAATTGACTTTAAAAATACCAGAACCATTGCCAAAAGTGAACATTTTAATAACAGAATACTCAGAGAAGCCATCGAGATAGAAAAACTCCCACACAGCATGAACAAGCGAGATGATACCTCCCGCCTACCAGCCATTTGGAAACCCGCCCTTATTGACAAACAACTCCCTAACACAAAAAATGATACCAGACCCACACTCACAAAAACCACACAGGAGGTCACCACCACACATCCACGCAAAAAACACACCCAAAGCCACACCGATGACGAGGCACGACCACAAACCAGAAGCCAGACCACAGCTGCATCATTAGCCACTTTAAACCCCTCCAATCCATACATGAAGCAAACTGACACCCTCCATGAAGAGGAGACACGACCACGAACGCGAATCCAGAAAATAGCAAGGCAGCCCAAAATCTTAAACCCCTCTGCAACTCAGACTAACCTGAGCACAACCAAACAGAACACTCCCCCAGCCAATCAGAGCACAGCCAAGCCCCTAACCATTCAGAACACACCTCCACCCAATCAGAACACCGCCAAGCTCCCACCCAATCAGTTCATACCCCCACTGGCAGTTAAAAGGAAGAAACAGCTAAGACCACACATTGCTGCTCAAAGCACAAAGCTGAAAACACCAGCCTGAAGATGACGAATGGGACTTCGTCGAAACGTCGCCAAGACACTTCCAATTTTACGCGGGAGAAAACCCGAACAACCAAAGACCTACATACAAATACCCGCGAAAACCTCAGAATATATATATATATATATATATATATATATATATATATATATATATATATATATATATATGTTGTCTGGGTCCATTGGTAATTCAGTGGTATATGTTAACTTTTTCAGTCTAGTTCCAATACTACACCATCCAGTGCTTCCTTGATCCTCTCTTCTTCCAATGGTATGCATTTTTCCACACTGGGCAAATACAATTCTCGTTAAAATTAATACATATGCAATTAAATGTAGACATCTTCATTACATTTTTCTGGTATTATACATAATATCGATAGTGTCAATTTATAATATCTTTTCTAGCCAGAACGTATCTCAATTGCATTTGCACTTTAAATCCATTTGTTCAATCAGTATCTGGTTTTTCCCGCTTTTTAAAAATTTAATTTCCCATCAATGTTCAAAATATCTCTAGGGCTTAAAATTTTCTCATAATAAATTATATTTGGGCAACCAAAAGCTTCCCTTATTGAAACCCTTTTAGAATTTTCATACTTCCCATCTCATAACAAAGTACGATATTCTAGTTACAAATAATATCCTTTTAATTATAATAATACTTTTATTTCTAATAGTTATCTTTTTTCTTAACCATATTCAAACATCTGTTTAATAGTATAATATCCCATCTAATATGTCAAAACCTCTATTTTTTTCAGTCTTACTCTAGCTTTCTTCCTTTGCCAAATAACTTTCCAGGTTAGTTCATTTGAATCGTCAAGTAATTCTTCCTCTGTTTTTGTACATATTGTTTGGAATGAGGAAGAGAGATTTATCCTCAAATGTGTTCTGAGATCTTGACAAATAAGATATCATTTCCATTTCCTGTGTTATCACTGCATCTTCTATTTTTTCATTTGTCTGTATCTGTCTATTAATTCCTTCCTTTAGGTCTTCCATCTTTGGATCCATTTCTTCTCATTTTGCTTCCATTTTCTGGGTTACTAGTTCCTTCTTTGTAGTTATTGTCTGGATTTGTAAGTTTAGATAAGAAAATTGTTCTTTTATCTCATTTGTATTATTTTAGTCTCATCATGAAATAAAACAATTGTCTCTTGGATTGATTTTAGCATAGAAAGTATTTCTTTGTGAGATTCATTAGCATTTTCTTGTTGGTATATCAAGCTGGGGACTTTGGAGACAAGTGTTAAATATGGTTTTCTACCATTTAAGGCTAAGTATGGAGCACCCATTTTGTTTTTACATGTAATCTTTATAGTCTAATAGGGTCACCAATATAGATAAGCAGCCCAAAAGTTTTTTTTCCCTTTTCCCAGCTGCAATCTGCAAAAGTGAAAGTTTCCAGGAACAACAAAGAGTCTTATCTAAGTCTGGGCTTCAAGCCAAGTTTCCTTTAAGCATAATAAATTGTAGTGCCATGATTTCACCACTAGATGTCATTGATACCGTCTTCCAGCTTTCCAAATCCAAGCTTATTTTACAGACTTTCAAATATCTTTTTTTTTTAAAAAAAGTCTCAAAGATACTTTTAATCCCCAAATTTCAAAACTATATATCTGTATTAATTCCAAATTGATCTTATAGTTTTCTTTATTTTCCCCCATAGCAATTAATTCACTGCTTTTCTTTTCCTGAGGGAGAGGGGCAAAAACTTCCCTTCCCTCTCTCAACGGGGAGGATTCTTTGCTTTGGGCATTTTTTCCCCCAGGAAAGTAGTATCAAAGTCATAAAAAGAGGATAAAGTCTCACCCAGTTCCATCCACATTGCTCAAAAATTGCTAGTTAGTGCTTATCTTCAGTTGCCAGCAGCTTGTGACTGGCCACACAAATGTAGCCATTCTTTCTCCCGCCAGTTTGGAGGCTTCCTCAGATCCAGCGGAAGGGCTGCCACCCCCTCCACAGTCGACGAGGGTCCCCTCCTTCTTCGTCGCCACTCCAGGGCAACTTTTGGCCCTTTTTAAGGTCCCCAGCGGGGCGAAATCGAACATGGAAGACGGGACTCCAACCCTCTGTCCGTCACACCGCGATGCCTAACCGGAAGTTCCTTCTTTTTTTTTTCTAAAGACAACCAAATTATTATGGTCACTGAACAGGCCTAGAATGTGGAGGGTCAAAAACCTGCAGTGGGTACTAAAGGCTAGCCGGAAAGAAGGCCTATCCATAGGGAGAGGAGTCCAAAAATCAAAATGGCAGCCACGATGGTGCAATCGAGGATCTGCCCCCATTTTCCATGGATCATATATGTAGCACAGATGTGAAAGGGACAGATCTTTGATTGAATTGTGGTGTCAGCCATCTTTTTGACCATATTCTTGTTGAGTGAGATTGGTTGGGTTTCCCAAGTACTGATAGTCCTTGAGTTACGACCATAATGGATCTGGCCCATCATGGTCATAACTTGTGATGGTTGGTCACACAATTTTACACTAGTTTTTGTGGCAATCATTAACCAATTCCACCGTCATTAAAGCAAATGCCACCAACATTAAGCAAAGCAATGGTTCAATTTGGACACAATTTTGCCCCACCCAAAATAGAAGTAAATGCTGCCTTTTACATCGTAAAACACGCCATGTGGGATGCTGATGTGGCCTAATTGCTGAGCTCACAAAGTGTGATCACATGTCTGGTGTGGTGTGGTGTAAAGGATAATCATCAGAACTTGAATCCGGATTATGAAGTATTTCCCCCCCCAGGTTGGTCTGTCAAAACATTAGGACTTGCTAAGTGACTGATTGTAAGTTGAGGACTACCTGCATTTATGTCCCTTTTGGATTCTTCTTTGCTAATATGCTGATGTACAAAACTCCTGCTTACGGTATTTTGAAAACTCTTATCTCTCAGGTTTTGCACAAATAATCCAGAAAAGTCACAGCAGCTTATCTTTGGAGATTCTCAGTCATCTAGGTGACGGTTGTCCCCAAAATATTTTTTCAAAAGGCAAACTGGACTTTTTTTCCCTTGAAGGTGTTTCGCTTGTCATCCAAGAAGCTTCTTCAGTTCTGACTGAGTGGTGGAGAATGGAAGGATTTATATTTATGGAGTCACCTGGCCATTAGTATTCTCCCTGAGAGCCATTAAAGTGGCCTCAACGATCCTCAGGAAGAGTACTAAAGACCAGATGACTGCAAAGAATATAAATCCTTCCATTCTCCACCATTCAGTGAGAGGTGAAGAAGCTTCTTGGATGACAAGCGAAATGTCTTCAAGGAAAAACAAAGTCCAGTTGCCTTTTGAAAAAGCACCTTTCAAAGACAAGGACAGCCAGATTATTAGGATGAAAAATCCCTGATAATGATACCGTCCAATGTTGCCTTCTAAGGGGAAAACATATTCTCAGACTTTATTCTAAAGAACAGTTACATCCATTTGAAACTTTCCACTTAATGTTCTTATGTCTTCCTGCTTTATAATTTTATTTAACAAGGGATCTGGAATTCTGCCTCAATATTGTGTTCTACTAAAGTAAAAGGTAAAAATGCCTGGACGTTCTCAGAAACCCTGGAAAGGAGAATACAGTGCTGATATATTGCAAATACAACAGAAAAATGAAAAGACAAAAGCAATAAAAATAAGAAAAGAAAATTAAAGAAAAATTAGAAAAATAAGAAAATAATCACTCACTGACACACAGATTTTCTCTTATGCCTCTTCCTCCAAAGTTGTTCAAAACAACTAGAATTTAATTCATCCTGGAGTAAAGGAAGCAGCGTAGAATGTTCTCATCCCATCAAAGTCTTGATCATTTCTGCCAAGATTTTTCTCCAGGATTTTGTTCTCAAATCAGTTCCTTTCCCCTCTGTTTAATCCCTATTTCTTTATTATATTGAGACGGCCAGCCAACTCAGGTGATTTTTCTTCTGTCCCACCAGATGTACAATATGCTTCCCTGGATTGTGAAGTGTGTTCCAGGACCTCACAAGAGGGCATTATCTTTGCGTGACTTTGCTTGGTCATTCATAAGAGAGGAGATCAAGAAACATCAAGAAGCAGACCATGGAGAAAAAGGCCAAGACTTCATTCATTTTTACCTGGCTCAAATAGAGAAAGTAAGTGGGTGCTCTTTTTGTGTGCGACTGTTAGATACCTTATCGTATAAAGGCTTCCCAACCTTGGCAGCTTCAAGACGGGTGGACTTCAACTCCCAGAATTCCCCAGCCAGCAAGCTGTATAGTAGCCTTGAGTACTGTCTTCTCTCGGGATTGTGACAATGCAGCATCGGAGAGGATGCCAGGGCTCTGAGACCCACAGGAGCAAATGCCTGCCTTTCTTGGCCCTGCCTTCCCTCAAGGGAGAAGATTACAGCTGTTGAAATTGGCAATGTCAGAAAGTCTGTTTATATATAGCACTGCAGAGCAAACAAAGAATACAGTCACCATGTGCTTTACTGCTCAATTGTTTTAAACTCTAACAGGAAATAGGAAACTCTCCCCAGAATAAACAGAACCGTAGACATTATAACCATAGATGCAAACTAAACACTGCCATCTACTGGCTGAACGATTCTGTAGTTGTTGCAATACAAAATGCATTCTAACGTGGATTCCATCAGGCAAGGACTGGAAGGAAGTGATGGCCTTCAAGGTTTCTCAGGTATTCTTTTGTTCTGCAGACGAAGAACCACCCCGAACCTCGCTATGATGAAAAGAACATGGTTCAGAGCATCTTTGATCTCTTTTTGGGGGGAACAGAGACATCGGGAACCACTCTCTACTGGGGATTGTTGTATATGGTGCTTTATCCTGACATTCAAGGTGAGAGAAGAATCACAAGTTGGATGAGATAGAAGGGACCTTTATAGCCCAACTATACTCAATGCCTGAAGCTGCTTGTAGCATCTTCAGTTGTAATTGACAATTATTATTGGAAGAATTCTTTAGTTATCGGTAGTCCTCAACTTACAATCATAATGCAGGCTGTTCATTACGGTCTACGATATTTACTAAGTGGGCCACCTCGCTTAATGTAATGTAGTTGTTTTTATTTATTTAGTTAGTTTTATTCAAATACAAATAATGCAAACATAATACATATAAGTCTAAATAAAAAACAATATAAAAATACAAACATTACAGTGCACCCCCTCTGAGATCATTTTTATTACCTATATTTTTTCTCATATAATAACTAACAATATACAATATATTTCAACTGTGCCCTTATCCCCTCCAAAACAGCCTATATTCCTCAGTAGGTTTATTCCCTTTGCCTTCCATCAACACTGTTTTTATAAAACCCTCCCATATTTCATTATAATTATTTACTTTAATCGTCCCTTTTTTACATTTAATTTCTGTTGTTAATTTATCATTTATTGCCATATTCCATATTTCATTATACCACTCATTTATTTGAATAACCCAATTCCGTCTCCAATATTTAGCCATCACTAATCTAGCTGCCATTATCAAATTTACAATCAATTCCTTTTTTGCTTCATTTATATCTTATTTTTCCACCAATAACAGTAACGCAAACCTCGGTGACATATTTAAATTTACCTTCAAAAGTTCTCTAATTTCCCTAAACACCATGTCCCATATCTTTTGTGTGCTATCACAATCCCACCACATATATTTATATGTTCCAATCTCTTTTGTATTTGTATATTTAACATCTATTTGATTTAATTTAGGTGGTGTTAGGTATCACCTCCATATCACTTTATATCCATTTTCCTTAACTCTAACTGACATATTCTTATATACTCTTCTATTCCAAATGTTTTTCCAATCTTTATCGTTTATTTCTCCTAAATCTGTTTCCAAAATTAATTTAAAACCTTTTGCCTGATCTTCTAGTTCAGTTAATATTCTATATATTTTCCCAATTCTCCCTTTACCTATATATTCTTCATTTACCTCATTTTCTTTTACAACCATTTCAAATTTTGTTAACTGCCTATCTTTCACCTCGAATTTTTCTTCCATTTTTATCCATTTCTCTAATTGTATTAAATTCAACCAATTTAATTCCTGGCATTAACCGATACCTCCATTTATTCCATAGTTCTATCAATTTTTTTAAAAAAGGGATTTTGCGGTCGTTAAATGACCATGTGGGTTATTAAGTGGAGCATGGGGTGCCTCAGGAGTGGCGGACTCGGTCCTGTGGTCAGTCATAAGGGCAGGTGGTTTGCCAAGCCCCTGAATTTTCTTCACAAGATCCCAGGAGCACTGCAGTGAGTAACTTCAGGAAAAGGTTATAAGCCTCTTCATTTAGCGCCGTTGTAATTTTAAATCGTTGCTGTCATAAGTAATGGTTATAAGTCAAGGGCTACCTGTAATCAAGATGTCAAGATGTTTTTTTTCCTCTCAAAGTATGAGATGGTCCAAGTCGGGCTTGACTTTGTCTGTTCAGCCCACTGGCATAATAAGAACATATAAATCACAGAGGGCGAATGGAGTGTTGGGGGAAGACTACCAGTTTACTTTTGAGTAAACCCAGCAGATGTTCAGGGTGTGCCAAGCATACCCAAGATAGCCTCCTTTTACATGCTAGACTAACGGCAGTGTATATTTTGATCAACACTTGCTCATCTCTCCTGGATAGCCAAAGCCCATTGCCTACTTGTAGCTTTTGATGTAATATTGTCGAAGCTTCATTCAGTCTAAATTACCTTATGCAATATTACAGTTGTGCATGCTTCAGAAACTGCTTAGAACTTAAGAGAGGGTAAGCAAAGTCAATCTCAGCTGTTTCTTACAACAAATGAAGCTATTTCTTAAAAGTATGGGGCTAGGACTACCAGGATCTTCCAAGACCCTCTCAGGGGTCTGTGAAAGCCAAATCAGTTGCCAATTTAAGTTGAAAAATACTAGAAATCTAAAATCCCAAGGACGCCCCTTCTGCTTGGCCCAGCTGGATGGGTAGAAACATTTGAAAAAAAGGTGATTCCCTCAGGGGTGTCCAACCTTGGCAACTTTAAGACTTGTGGACTTCAACTCCCAGAATTCCACAGCCAGCATGTCTGGTGGGGGAATTCTGGGAGTTCAAGTCCACTAAAGTTCAAATTGCCACAGTTGGACACCCCTAGGAACTTTAGGCTTGTAGGCCTCAACTCCCAGAATTCCTCAGTCCACAAGGCTGGCGGAGGAATTCTGGGAGTTGAAGTCCACAAAACGTAAAGATACCCAGGTTGGACATCCCTGGTCTAGATAATTCGCTCCTCCTGGGCTGAGCTTCTGCCATTAATAGACCACGGACAGCTGAGGCCACACCTGGATGCTTATTCACTCCTAACTCTAGTCAACGTGCAAAATCTTTGTTTCTCCCCAGCCAAAGTTCAAAAGGAAATCGATAGCGTTTTACCACCAGGCCAGTCGATCTGTTATGAGGATCGCAAGAATCTTCCGTACACAAATGCGGTGGTGCACGAAATCCAGCGCTTTAGCAACATCGTCTCGATCGGAATGCCCAGATACTGCATAAGAGATACGATGATCCAGAAGTTTCTCTTTAGAAAGGTAAATGAATTCCTGTGTTCTGGAGCCTTCTTTTCTTCTCCTCACCATATTGCTAGAGGAAGCACATGCAATACAGGGAGTCATCGGTTAACGGCGGGAATTGGACTGAGAACTCTGTTGTTAAGTGCAACGTCATGTGACTGCATCAACTTACGACAGCGGTTCGGGCAGTTCCTGTTAGGTTCTTTAGGCAAATTCTATTTTATTCTTATCCTTTTATTCTTTTTTAATGCTGAAGCGCAAACATTTTAAAGACACAAAGTCCTTTCCCTCAGGATAATTTTTTTTTCAACTGCACAGCCTTAACCTATTTGTATTTTTTTTAGAAGAGTGATCTTTAAAGCCATGAATTGAAATTTGTCACTTTGGCCTCCGTTGGCAGCAGATATAACCATTTTTGTTTCTTCCCTCAGGGAGAAAGGCAAAACTTAAGTGCTCCTCTTCTTTTCCACAGGGCACCGTCTTTATCCCGAACATGGCTTCTGCCTTGTATGATGCCAACGAGTGGGAGACACCCCTCGCCTTCAACCCGAACCATTTCCTCGACAAGGAAGGCAATTTCACCTGTCGAGAAGCTTTCATCCCATTTTCTCTAGGTGCTCGTTCAGCTTGTTAAAATTCCATCGAATCTTTAATGATATGCCTTGACCGTTCCTGTTTTCACCCCTCAAACTATCATAAGTATGAAAGCCCATCATAAGTCACTTTTTTCAATGCTGTTGTAACTTTGAATGGTCACTGAACAAATATTTGTAAGTTCAGGACTTCCTGTATTCCCCTTATCAGGAAGGGATACGGAGAACAGTGTCAATCCAGGTCAATCACATTGTAAACTCTAATCAGGGGTGGGGGACGATGGCTCTTTTATGACTTGTGGACTTCAACTCCCAGAATTCCTCAGCCAGCCATGATGGACTTCAACTTCCAGAATTCCTAAGATGGTCATGCTGGTTCAGGAATTCTGGGAGTTGAAGTCCACAGGTTGTAAAGGGGCCATAGTTGCCCAATCCTTTTATTACCTGTGGACCTCAAAGCCCAGAATTCCTAAGACGGTCATGCTGGCTCAGGAATTCTGGGAGTTGAAGTTCACAGTCATAAAGGGACTCATGGTTCCCCACCTCTGCCCTAATCACTCCCTGCCAGTACTGATTTGTTGTTTTCCTCTCCTCTCCTAGGTTATCGAGCATGTTTGGGAGAAAATTTGGCAAAAACAGAGTTGTTCCTTTTCTTTACCAACCTTGTGCAAACGTTCAATTTCCACTTGGCTGACGGATCAAAAGATATAAAGCTTGACCCGATCTGGGGAGGCACTCTGCATCCTCATTCCTTTGAGATCTGTGCAATTCCTCGCTAGGCCACTATGCCAGGTCTGACTAGCAGCTGTGGATACTGGGACTGGGAATCCAAGTAGCTGGCTTTGTCTCCTCCAACTTTTGTCTGAAAAAAAAAGCACGTTTCCAGCCCTCCTTGTTGCGAAAGGAAAATGTATACAACCTAGTCTCGATCTGCAACATGGGCTTTTGAATACTGACAGGCCAGCAACATCAGCCCTGGGCTGTTCTCTATGTTCTTGTCATTTATCTAGTTCTACTTGATTCCTTTTACTTGAGCCCCTAATCTGACCGCTTTTAGAATCGAATTTTAATTATTTGCAAAAAGCAAGAGAAGGAAGAAAAAACAACAACGCTTGAGGGTTCACCACTCTTTGAATAATCCTTTTTTAAAATATAGCATGTTTTCATAACATGTTGACATTAGTTCAGCTTCCTTGACTGTGGAAAAGAAAGAGGAAAGTTAGAGGGCAACTCGGAAATAAACCTCCATTTGGTTATCAACGACATTCGCAGATACAGAACTTTTATTATACACATTAGAAAACTAGAAGATTACACTACTTTTCAACATAATCGCCATTCAAATTGAGGCACCTGTCATAACGTCTTACAAGATTTGAAATTCCTTAGTAGTAGTCGCTCAGCGCCAAATCTGGGCTATGGGCGGGAGGGATGATCAGAAACGTCCCAACGGAACCGCTTCAAAAGTTCTTGGGTGCACCTAGCGATGTGCGGGCGAGCATTGTATCGTGACCCAACACCACACCGGAAGCGGTGCCATAGAAAATCCCGTCAAATGTGAAGATGCCAAAGGAGTACTGCTAGCGAAGTTCACGGAGCATCGTTCGACCATCAATTCAGAAGTCTACTGTCAGACCCTTCCAATGTAGTTCCCTTCCTATTATTGCTTTGCCTGTGGATTCCTTTTCGGGGTCTGGCATTCTGGTGGGAGGGGGGCTCCTTGCTTGGGGAATGTATTTGCCTGGCTCTTTGAAATGCTCTCCATTCGTGAAAAAGGAATGGGGCCTAAAAACATCTGCCTTATCTCCAGACTACCATTGCGAAACGAAAACGAGAGAGACCTTGAGATGGGCGCTAAACCACTAGGTTCCGAAAACAACCCAGTGCCTATGGATTGGCTGGATTTGAAATGGATGGTTGGACACTGGGTGGGTAGGTGCGTGGTGGAGACCTGAATGTAATCATTTGCACAGGAAATCATCAGACCTTGCTTTGCTCTACTAACTTTCAATAAAAGTTCCTTTTGAAACAATGCCTGTTTCAAGAGTTCTGCTTTCTTGGGAGATCTAGCTGAGGCAGATCCTTACATCTACTGTGAAATGTTACGAAAACTCATATGAACCATCCATAAAAAGCGTTGGGGTATGCGGACTTCCAGTGTGTTATTGGTTTGAAATAATGCTTGCCCGCACACTGCTAGACACACCCAATATAATGTGTATAATAAAAGTTCTGTATCTACGAGTGTCTGTCACTGATAACCAAACAGAGATTTATTTCCAAATTGGCCTCGTAAAAATAATATAAACAGTAAATTTGCAGTAATCTCCTAGATGAATCTTCCCCAAAATGCTAATTATTGCTCTCTTCTAGGAGATGTCTTTTCCCCCCCTGCAATTGCAATTTTGCTTTCTTTTCATGATGCTTTGGACTTACCAATCCTCATTGGAACTGCATCTACACAGAGGGAAGTAAGCAGAGGGTTCCCCAAAGTTCTGTTTCAGGCCCAGTAATTTTCAACATAAATGATTTAGATGAGAGAACAGAACGGGAATTCATCAGATCTGCAAACAACACTAAATTGGCAGGAATAGTCACCACTCCAGAAGATAAGCTCAAAATCCAGATCAATCTCAACAGACTTCAACACTGGGCCCAATCTAACCAAATGAAATTCAATGTAGATAAAAGTAAGGTTTTACACTTACGTTTGAAAAATCAAATGTATATGTATAGATTAGGTAAAACCTGGCTCAATAGCAGTAACTGTGAAAGGGATCTTGGAATCCTAGTGGACAATCACTTAAATATGAGCCAGTGGCATGCGGCGGCAGCCAAAAAAAGCTAATGCAATCCTAGGTTGCATTAACAGAGGGATAGAATTGTAAGGTCCCAGTCCCTTACTTAAATTTGAGATACCATATCAATGTAATCAGATAACCCAGGCGGAGACTTCTTGATCAAGCAGCAGTTTATTTGATTAAATTAAGCAGCTGGGTGTCCAACAATCTGGAACGCTGGCAGAGTTACGTCCAGAAGTGCCACACTTTAGAAAGTTGGTAGCATTGCTTTATAAACTTTGTTAGCCAATGAAAATCAGACAACAGAGCTATCAATCATAAGAAAGATATCCATCATTGTTGTACACTCCCTTAATCTCTCCTTTAGTATATCGAGTCCATGTACATGTTTCCCACGCTTGCATGGAATTTCTCTGGTGCAAAAGCCAATTACAAAAAGCAAGAAAGCAACAGTGAGATTAAACAATTTCCCTTTGTTCCAGAACCCTTCATTCCCCCCTTTAATTTTGTAACAGAATGCTTTCTGTTACTTGGTGACCAATGACATATATTCCTTTGTTATTGTGGTAATAATCAGGATGTTGGCTGGCTTACAGGGTTTATCACTATTTACAGAGGATGCCGTGACTGTCTTCCCTAAGATGGTAGAAGTAACTGTTCTTTGGATAACAGGAATCATAGATGGCAAAACCAAAAGACCTCTAAATGCAGCAACATGTAAAAGGAAAGCCATACCTCTTTGTTTTCACAAAACTTTCTTTTGTAGTATTATTTTAACCAATTAATTTTCTTTATCTTTCTCTACGTGTACTTCTCGCCTCGGGCTAATGGAGGTTCCCCCCAAGCATAGTATAGAGAAGCAAGACAGCATTATGTTATTCTAAATGCCCTTGATATGTAATTATTTCTAATACAGCTTGCAGTCTAATAATTCTATTAAGCATATAAACAGGAGGCCTATAACTTATACATTCCATCTTCTTGCCATGTAGTAGGTCCATCTGGGACAGTCCAGTTGAAGGTGGCATCTGTTAGATTGGTCCATAAGGTAGACAGTTGGAGAATGTTTGCCATGAGAGTTTGAGGTTAGGCCGAATTGGTGGTAATCCATCAAAAAGATACTGAGATGCTCACCTATAAGAGATGTTCACACCTAAGTCTCCTCAAGGTTTTTACCAGAAACATCTGTTATTAAAACAGAGGCTTCCCACTATGGAAGTGGTCAGAATCCACATATTGGGTCTATTGGTGTCTTTTCCCAGTGAGATTTTGACTAGTCAGGGCAGTAAAATTTATTTCAGCTGCTTCCCAAGGCCATTGTTCACCCATGCTAGTACTCACACACATATAACAGTTAGTCACATTTAGAGATGAAGCAATTCTTTTGGGCCAGATCAATAAAAAGATTCTTTGATATTGAGGGAATTTCAATTGTGGCTTCCAGTTCATCGTAAAAAGAATGAAAAACTCAAAAATGTTTCTGAGACGGTGGTAGAATAGTGTCAAATTGTACCCATATTTGTGTCTGGTTCAATCGATAGCTGGTCCAAATGATGCTGAGAAGTCTGCTGGTCTGGTTATCTTGAAGCAAATCAGGTTGCAGGAATCAACATTGCACTGAGAAGTGCCGACTCCTTTAATCACATTGAATTTTCCTTTGATTGTGTCCGGTTGGGTAGGATGTAGTTTGTGTTAAATGAGTAAGCCTGTCTCCATACTTAGTCTGTTTAGCTTGATTATAGTCACTAGGTTTACATGCATCAAAGAAAACTCTGGCACTATCCATAAGTCTTGTGTTATTCTTCTCAAGAGGTACAGTCTGTGCATCCTTCCATATGTCCAGGTTTGAAGTTGTTAGTAGGGCTTTACTGTATCGACAGAAGCATAACAAATGACCCTATCCTCTACTTTGCAAGTGGAATACGTAGTCTTGTTATAAACACAACTCCCTTTTGTTCCTTTAATTATTGGTCCCATGGTCTGAAGAAGGTGTGGGGGGAAACAGCAGCAACAAAGTAAAAAAAAATGTAGCAATACACAGTCTAGAACAGCGGTTCTCAACCTGTGGGTCGGGACCCCATTTGGGATCGAACAACCATTTCACGGGGCTTGCCAAACAACGCAGTCTGCCATTTTTTCCCCCTTTTCCTCAGCTGTGCTACTCCCTTTTATTCTATTGGCTTTTGAAAGCCAATAGAATAGACTCTCTTGAATAGAGTCTAATTCTATTGGCTTTCAAAAGCCAATAGGAATTGTCCAGGCTGTCTCTGCCCTGCTGAGCCCGCCAAAAGTCCCATTCTGCAAACGGTGCTGCAAGTTGTCTGCAGCGAAGGCGAGCTGTCTGGAAGTTTCCACCCCTCCCTGCTGAGCAACTACTAAAAATGTAAGTAAAAGAGGGCCAGGGGTGGGAGGCCGGCAGGTGCAGGGAGGGTTGCTGGTGCGTGTGGGGCCCGGTGGGTGCCTTACCTCCCTTGGGCTGGGCCAACTGGTGGCCCAGCTGGTGGTCAGCCTGCGCCATCTCTGCCACTTGCCAACTATGCCTCGGCCGGCGCAGGTGGCAGCACACGCATGCGTGGCGCTCCTGGGCAGGGAAAGTCCTTGACTTATGACTGGTTGGGTAGTCCTCGACTAACAACCAGTTGGGTAGTCCTTGACTTACGACCGGTTGGAGGTCGTGGCATTAAAAAGGTTGAGAACCACTGGTCTAGAATATTACGAACCCACGTTCTGGGGTAGTCCAGTCCATTGACATTTTTCTCCTAGTTAGATGGAAACAGTTCAACAGGTAAGGCAGGTCGAGATTTCATTTTCAGGCCGCCCAGCTGTGGAGCTTGTCACTGGAGAGGGAATGATGGGACTTTCCATGGATTCACGCTTTGATTCCTTCACTCTCACTGCAGTTGAGGTCAGGAGGACCTGGCATGGTTAGGACCACTCAGGACTGGTACTTATAGGTGACAGCTCTTTTCACCTGAACCCACTCTTCAGGAACAATAATGGTCAGAGACAGGTGGTAAGGCAGCCTGGGCCTTTACTGGAATAGAAGACAAAACCTGGGCCAGATTATGCAAACACTGAGTAACATTCTTCTCTTCTTCATTGACATTCTTGATCCTTCTTGCAACTCCCCTCCATCATTTCACACAGGACAAGGCAAGTTTTCCAGAGTTGAGGCCTGTAATGAAATGGCCTCACCACTAGATGTCACAGCCTGTACAGCCATTGTGTACCAACCACAACATCAGCCTGCCAGACACCTCTGCTCTGCAGGCTGCACAAGAGCAACTTAGAACGTAGAACAATAGCGTCGGAAGGGACCTTGGAGGTCCCTTGCACAGATAAACCCCCAAGTGCCCTGTGCATCTGAGCAACGTGAGGGTTTATTTGTGTATCTGTTTATCTGAGGCAGGGGTAGGCAACCTTGGCTCTTTTATGACTCGTGGACTTCAAATCCCAGAATTCCTGAGCCAGCATGGGGAACTATGGCCCCTTCATGACTTCTGGACTTCAACTCCCAGAATTCCTCAGCCAGCATGGGGGAACTATGGCCCCTTCATGACTCGAGGACTTCAACTCCCAGAATTCCTCAGCCAGCATGGGGGAACTATGGCCCCTTCATGACTTGTGGACTTCAACTCCCAGAAGAAGGGGGTGGGACCGGGGCAAGTGCCAAGGCATGGCCCACTGGAGGAGCCTCACTGTTCCTCTCAGGCCATGTGGGGGGGGGGGGCTGGATGGTGGTGCGAGCTGCCCAGAGCCCTGGGCAGCAGAGGTCAAATGCCCAGCCTGGCCCTCGAGCACCTGCGACACCAAGTCCAGCCCCACTTCCCCAAGGGGACACCCAGCTGCACTTAGCTCCTCCTCAAGGCTGCTGCTGCTGTGCTTGTTCTCCTTAGCCAGGTTGCTCATGATGGGTATGAGGGCAAAGTCAGAGGGAGGCCCATTCCCTCCCCATGGAAGGAGACCCGGCTTTGTATCCAAAGCTTCCTTAGCAATAGGATGGGAGACCCCCAGGATAGGCCAGGAGGAGGGGGCAAGGAGATGTTGAAAGGGCAGCAGGGCAGAACGAAGGCAGGAATTCCCTCAGACCCTCCCTCTCCTTTCCTTCTTTCCTTCCTTCCTTCCTAAGAACAGAGTGGTGGGAAAATATTTGAGACGAGGGAGGGAGAAAGACAGGCAAGAAAGGCAGCTGGGGAGGTGTCACCCTTTGTGAGGAATGCAGAAATGCACCATCGCCTGGAAGTGGCCAGCACATGGCCCTCACCTGCTTCACATATCTGGCTTGGTGGGCTCTGGGGGAGGGGATGCCATGAGCAGTGTGAGAGTCAACGTTACCTGTGCAATGCCGCCCAGCCCCCAGCCTGCCCGGTTTTGGCAGGCAGCGAGGCGCTCTCCTCACAGCGCCAAGAGGCTGAGCCAGGTGGCATGAATCCAAAAAGAAGTGTGCTGCCGCCCAGCCCTTGGCAGGCAGTGGGGCGCTCTCCTCACAGTGCCGAGAGGTTGAGCCAGGCGGTGCAAAGCTCACCAGCTTTGCACCATGCTGCCTGCTGAAACTGGGCAGGCTGGGGGCTAGGCAGCATTGCACTTCTCATCAGATTCGCGCCACCTGGCTCAGCCTCTTGGCACTGTAAGGAGAGTGCCCCGCTGCCTGCCAACCCCCCCCCCCGAGCCCATCAAGTCGGATATGTGAAATAGGCCAGGGCCATTTGCTGGCCACTTCCAGGCGATGGTGCATTTCTTCAGTCCACACAAAGGGTGACACCTCCCCAGCATGCACCCAGGGGACGGGGCCAACGCGGCAGGGGCTGGTTCCTTGCTGTTTTCAGCTAAGACTGAATGTGTTTCAGCATAGATGGCCACCACAAAATTGTACATTGGCTCCCAGCTGGCCTGGGCCAGGGCCAAGGCAGCGGGGGCCGTTCCCTCACTGTTTCCAGGATGGCTTCGCGGGCCACATGAAACCACTTTGCAGGCCGCATCCGGCCCCCGGGCCTTGTGTTTGACATGTCTGGGCTATAGAATAGAATAGGCAATAGGCAATAGGCAATAGGCAATAGGCAATAGGCAATAGGCAATAGAATAGAATATGGAATGGTATAGAATGGAATAAAAATAGAATAGGATAGAATAGGATAGGATAGGATAGGATAGGATAGGATAGGATAGATAGTTGGAAGGGACCTTGTATGTCATCTAGTCCAACCTTTAGGACAGAACAAGCTTGAGCAGAGAGCAAGTTAAGGCAGAACTTCCTATGAAAGGAAAAGGAATGACTGAGAAATCATTTTAAAAGCCACATCAGTGACATCCTACATTCATTTTAATCTATTTTAGGATGACCACTACGAGGAACAGCACAGATTTTAAAGGGCCGAGGATGTAAGATAACTCCTATTAGCGGTTCCTGACTGGGTTCTTCTGCGCCTTCTGGCTGCTGCAATTTGAAGGTCCTCAGCAGGTTGGTGAAGAAAAGGAAAGATTCCATCTTGGCTAAGGTTTCCCCCACACAAACACGAGCCCCTGCAAAGGAAATGTTAGAAAAAACAGAAAGGGAAGAATAATATCCATCACAGAGAGGGCAGCCCTGGCATCTATCACGGGCAAAGATACCGAAGACTGAAATAAATTAAAAAATACAAGGTGGACCTGGAGAGAAGGAGCAAAACTCCTCTACATTTTAGGGGTCTTAACTTGCTCTCTGCTCTCTTTTCCTGTGCCAGTTTTGCAAATTTTGAATTTCCCTTTTTTGTAAATTCCTTTTCTGAGCAAGTGATTCCACCATACAACTAATGAGAGCTGAGTTCAGGTTTATATAGAAAAGGTGGAATTACAGAGTGTGTTAGTCTGTTGGTTGTAAGAATATTAAATCGTTATGGGTACAACAGATCATTTAGTGACCGTTTGAAGTTACAACGTCACTGTTTTTCACACATATGACCCTAGCAGTATCCCCATGATCAAAAGTCCACGCTTGGCAACTGACTCATATTTGTGATGGTCGCAGTGTCCTTTGGGGCCACGTGATCCCCTTTTGTGACCTTCTGACAAGCCAAGTCAAGGGGGGAAGCCGGATTCACTTAATAACCGTGTGACTAACTTAACGACTGAGGTGATTCACTTAACAGCTGTGGCAAGGAAGGTCGAAAAATGGGTGAAAAATTCACTTAACAATTGTCTTGCTTAGCCACAGAGATTTTGGGCTCAATGGTGGTCGTAAGTCGAGGACGACCTGCACAGATCTTTGGGGAGGGAAACATACAGCACATACAAAACAAAAGAACGTGTAAATCAACAATAAAGTGACCTACAGAGAATTCTCGACTTACAATCACCGCTGAGCCCAAAGTTTCCGTTGCTAAGTGAGATATTTGTCAAGGGAGCTTTGCCCCATTTTACGACCTTTCTTGTCACAGCTGTTCTGTGAATCACTGCACTGGTTAGACACGGTTCTTAAGTGAATCTGGCTTGCCCATTGTCAGAAAGTAACAATAGGGGATCACGTGACCCCAGGACACTGCGACATAAATGTGAGTCAGTTGCTGAATTTTGATCACGTGACCCTGGGGATGCTGCAACGGTCATAAGTCACTTTTTTCAGTGCCGTTGTAACTTTGAGCAGTCAATAAATCGACTGTTGTAAGCCAAGGACTATCTATAGTCATTAGGATTGGACAAAATGGAGCCTTGGAGATCCACATCGCTTAACTGACACGAGACAAGCAATCACTAGCAACTAGGATCAGCTATCCTGTTAGGAACAAAACTGTATAATACTGTGACTCCATTTTCAATCTCTGATCTTATCCAGAATTAACTCTAGTAGATTATTCTAGCAGCTGCTGAGAGATATCCCACAGTACAACCAAGAATGCTATACATTTCCCCCCCCCCAAAAAAACCCGAGGTACAGCTAAGTAAGACAGAGTAAGATAAAAGTAGTGGCAATGCAGAAGGCCATTGTTACGCTAAGGAGTTTCATGACATATTTTGATTTCCCCTTCATGTTAAGAAAAGTAATAATAATAATAATAATAATAATAATAATAATAATAATAATAATAGACTAATGACGAATTTGTCAATGCCAATGGTGTTCAAGTGGAACAATTAGAGCACCACTTGAACACCATTGGCATTGACAAATTCGCCATTAGTCAATTGCAAAAGGCAGCCTTACTAGGAACTGCTGCTACTAGGAACTAGGTATCTGTAATACCATCAAACATCCACCTCTGCCTATCCCAGGTCCTTGATAAGGACTCGATAGGTAGACAAAAATGCCAAATCCAGTCTGAACATCTGGCTGACTGTGCGATGATCAATAATAATAATAATAATAATAATAATAATAATAATACCTGACTGACACCTACAATGCTGGTAGCAACCCGTGTGAACCATCAGCGCCAGCCAATTTGAATGTTCAGTTGACTGAGGTTCATGTCTAATGAATAATAAAGTTGGAAGGGACCTTGGAGGTCATCTAGTCCAACCCCTGCTCAGGCAAGAAACCCTATACCATTTCAGACAAATGGCTGTCCAGTCCTTCTTAAAAACTTCCAGTGTTGGAGCATTCACAAGTTCTGGAGGCAAGTTGTTCCACTGATTAATTGTTCTAACTGTCAGGAAATTTCTCCTTAGTTCTAGGTTGCTTCTCTCCTTGGTTAGCCTAGAAATTCAGAGCTCATTCTGAACTAGCTTGCTTGTTGAACCAAGGAGAGAGGGGCAGGGGAATATTCACACAGCTTCAATACTTCTCCCATGTGAAAATATCAGATATTTGATTTCCATCTCAGAGTCCGGTGCTACCCGGTCAATTCAGGTCCTGAGGTCTCCTGACCATAACAGGGCCAGGTGTTGATACTGGAGTTGTTATTTGTTGTTGTTATTGTTAATTGCGAAGTCGTGTCCGACCCATCGCGATCCCATGGACAATGTTCCTCCAGGTCTTCCTGTCCTCTACCATCTTCTGGAGTCCATTCAAATTCACACCTACTGCTTCAGTGACTCCATCCAGCCATCTCATTCTCTGTTGTCCCCTTCTTCTATTGCCCTCAATCTTTCCCAGCATTAGGCTCTTCTCCAGTGAGTCCTTCCTTCTCATTAGGGGGCCAAAGTACTTGAGTTTCAACTTCAGGATCTGGCCTTCTAAAGAGCAGTCGGGGTTGATCTCTTCTAGTACTGACCGGTTTGAACGCCTTGCAGTCCAAGGGACTCGCAGGAGTCTTCTCCAGCACCATAGTTCAAAGGCCTCAATTCTTTGGCGCTCAGCCTTTCTTATGTCCAACTTTCACAGCCATACATTGCAACTGGGAAAACCATGGCCTGGACTATACGCACTTTTGTTGGCAGGGTGATGTCTCTGCTTTTTAGTATGCTGTCTAGATTTGCCATAGCTTTCCTCCCCAGGAGCAAGCGTCTTTTAATTTCTTGGCTGCAGTCCCCATCTGAGGTTATCTTGGAGCCCAGAAAAATAAAATCTGTCACTACCTCCATTTCTTCCCCATCTATTTGCCAGGAATTGAGAGGGCCGGATGCCATGATTTTGGTTTTCTTAATGTTGAGTTTCAAGCCAACTTTTGCACTCTCTTTCTTCACCCGCATCAAGAGGCTCTTTAGTTCCTCTTCACTTTCTGCCATTAGAGTAGTATCATTTGCATATCTTAGGTTGTTGATATTTCTCCCAGCAATCTTAATTCCAACTTTTGATTCATCTAGCCCTGCCTTTCTCATGATGTGCTCTGCATATAAGTTAAATAGGCAGGGCGACAGTATACAGCCTTGCCGGACTTCCAATTTTGAACCAATCAGTGGTTCCGTGTTTGGTTCTCACTGTTGCTTCTTGACCCACATATAGGTTTCTCAAGAGACAAATGAGATGGTCTGGTACTCCCATCTCTTTAAGAACTTGCCACAATTTGTTGTGATCCACACAATCAAAGGCTTTTGCATAGTCAATGAAGCAGAAGTAGGTGTTTTTCTGGAACTCCCTAGCTTTCTCCATGATCCAGCGTATGTTGGCAATTTGATCTCTGCCTCTTCGAAATCCTGCCTCTTCGAAATCCTGCCTGTACTTCTGGTAGTTCCCGATCCACATACTGCTGGAGTCTAGCTTGTAGGATTTGTTGGGCCCTTCAAATATTTGTTGGGCTCTTCAAATAACAACCCCATTGGGGCATCGCAGCTGCCATTATTCAGCAGCTTCTGAAAGCCTGTGAGGAATTTGTGAATTATCTTGCTTGGTCTGTATGCTTTTTATGTGATGCTTTTCAATCTGTTTGCTTGAGCCAAGACTGAAAATCCTTTTATTTATTTGCTGTTTACTGTCTTTGAATAAAAAAATAAAATTCAATCACCTGGACACCTGATCTCGGCCCTGACATTGGCAAAAGATCACTTTTTTAAATCAAACAGGGCAAAGTGCTTTAACTGCAGGTTATTCACTTCTGGATTTTGGCACTGGATGAAAGACAGATGTGCAGGAGTGTCCGACTTTTGGCTTACATGGCGGGCAGCCCTGAGAGAAGAGGAATTTTTTTGGGCCAGATATAAAATATACAATACAGATACAGGTAGTCCTCGGCTTACAACAGTTCTTTCCAAGTTACCACAGCACTAAAAAAATTGACTGATGACCTTTTTTCAAGTTACGATCTTTCCAGCATCCCCATGGCTACGGGATCAAAATTCAGAGGCTTGACAACCGATTCATATTTATGACGGTTGCAATGCCTTGGGGTCACGTGATCCCCTTTTGCGATCTTCTGACAGGCAAAGTCCATGGGGGGAAACCAGATTCACTTAACGACCATGTTTCTAACTTAACAACTGCAGTGGTTCGCTTAACAACTGTGGCAAGAAAGGTCGTAATATGGGGCAAAATTCACTTAACAAATGTCTCGCTTAGCCACAGAAATGTTGGGCTAAACTACGGTTGTAAGACGAGGACTTCCTGCAAAGTACACAAATAAACTATTTTTTTAAAAAAAAAATTATTACAATCTTGTGGGGCTGCATTAGTAGCTCCCCAGCCCGGGGGCCACAAGTTGGACAAGCTTGCTCTAGACCAGGGGTGTCAAACTCGCTGCGTCATGTGATGTGTCGTGATGTATCGCAACTTTGTTTTGCATTGCCGGAGCTGGAGTGGGCGCAGGCTCCGTATGATGCAACTTGACACCCCTGGCAGTTTGACAGCCCTGCTCTAGGCCAACGCTTTGCAACCTTTCCTGCTCGGTGGCCTGGTGGAGGCGGAGCGGGAGAAAGGGATGGTTTTGGGTATGTGCGTGTGCCGTCCTCATGAATGCACATACTCATGCATGCCTTGCCCACCACTTCTGCAGCCTGGTTCTGCAGCCCAGCACTGGGTTGCAGACTGGGTGTTTAGCAGTGGTGGGATTCAAATATCTGAACATCCGGTTCTCTGGGTGGATGCAGGCCTGGGCCTCTGAGGCCTAGAATGGTCTTCTGGAAGTGACATCCATGCACTTCCTGTGGGCTGTTCTAGGCCTGGGAGGCCTAGAACGGACTTCCAGTGGTGGGATTCAGCCAGTTCTCCGAACTCAACAAAATTTAGCTACATTTCTACCGAACTAGTGCGAACCGGCTGAATCCCACCACTGGTGTTGGGGACCCCTGCTCTAGACCCTTTTCTTGGAAGATCCAGTTTCTGACAGAGAAGGGCATTGCCAGAGATCTCATCTGCTCTAAAAGAGAGGCCAGAAACTGGATTTCAAAAGAGCACAAAAGGAAGCGATCCAAACCTGCTCCCAGATTTATTTCTTTATTTATTCAAAACTGCTGGAGGCCCCATCATGGATGTCCCACCATTTTCTCTTCAATCCTCTTTCTTTCTTAACTTTGTTGCTTGTATCTTATGCTTGATATTGTTTGATTTAGTGTCCTACTATGATTTATGTAGTTTGCTTATTTAGTATCCTATGACTATCGCTAAGTGTTGTATCTTATGGTTTATGATGAATATATTTTTACAATGACTAGGATCATGATTTATCACTTATTCCTTTTATGTACACTGAGAGCTTATGCACTGGAGACAAATTCTTTGTGTGTCCAATCACATTTGGCCAATAAAGAATTCTATTCTATTCTATTCTATTCTATTCTATTCTATTCTATTCTATTCTAATTTCTATATTCTATTCTGTTCTTATTTCTATATTCTATTATATTCTATTTCTCTATTCTGTTCTATTCTGTTATTTCTATATTCTATAATCTATTCTATTCTATTCCTATTTCTCTATTCTATTCTATTCTATTCTATTCTATTCTATTCTATTCTATTCTATTCTATTCTATTTTATTCTATTCCATTCCATTCCATTCCATTCCATTCCATTCCTTTTCTCTATTCTATTCTATTCTATTCTATTCTATTCTATTCTATTCTATTCTATTCTATTCTATTCTTTTTTTCTATTCTATTCTATTCTATTCTATTCTATTCTATTCTATTCTATTCTATTCTATTCTATTCTATTCCATTCCATTCCATTTTTTTTTCTATTTTATTCTATTCTATTCTATTCTATTCTATTCTATCCTATCCTATCCTATCCTATCCTATCCTATCCTATCCCATCCCATCCCATCCCATCCCATACCATACCATACCATACCATCCTAGCCAGTCCCTAACCACTAGGAAAATGATTCAGAGTTTACCTGCTCCAAATGGCATAAATTCTTCTCTCTTCATAAAATTCCCATCCTTGTCTAAAAAATGATTTGGATTGAATTCTTCAGGCTTCTCCCATTGCTTGGGATCATGAAGAACTGAATAGACATCCATGAGAATGAAAGTTCCCTGAAGGGAAGACAATTGTCAATGGATGAGTCAACCGCATTTAGTCTTTGGCTAATATTACACTTGTCAACGCTGCTAACATCGGATGTTCTTGCTTTGACAACATATGGAAATGCAGCCATTTTCCTTTACTTTATGTTTTACTCATAGAGTTAGAATTAGATGTTACTGGGGGGGGAGGGGAAGGAATGTGCATGGGAGATTAGTTAGACAAAATAATACTGTATAAGGGTGAGAACCAAGGCTGTTTGTAATAAGAAATGATAAGACATGGCGGGATGAAGAACTGGCGGGAAAGCCAGCATTTCAAACTAATTTGAGAATGTGATGTATGACAGTTAGTTAGAGGAGGGAATTGTGCTTTGATACAATGTGCTTAGGGGAGGGGAAGTCAGATTTTGGCTTGGACTATGTACGTGCCGATGTGTTGCTACTTGAATAAAGATTCTTTAAGGTAAAAAATGCCTTGAAGTTTTTTGAAGAGTTTCATCTGTCGGAACCATGACAACACTAATCTTAGGCGACAATCCAACACTTCTTCTCTGAATTTGGTGCTGCTAGTTCCTTCTCTATAGTCATCAAAACCACCACAGTGTTAACTTGATTTTAGATACTTTTGCACGAAGAAAAGAGAGAATGTATGTGTGACTGGTACACGTAAATTAAAAAGTTCTTTCTTCTTTAGATTTTTAATTTTAGTATGCCTCTAAGACTCTGCATAAACCCAAGAAGTTGCTCTAAGGATTTATGTCATAAAGTGGGACTCTTAGATGCTCATTTCATGTGATGGAACGAAGCCATCTGGATCTCTCTTACCTTTGGAATAAAAAGGCCACATGTGTTTACATTTGTCACTGTTTGCCTGGGAATACTAAACAATAAGACGTATTTTAAACGTAGAATTTCCTGAACCACAGCGTGAGTGTAAGGCAACTTCCACCGATCTTCATAACAGACTGAGTCACAGGAACCCAAAACAGTTTCCATTTCTTTGTAGACTTTATCTGAGTGAAATGTGAGAAAAGGGTATTATTTCTATTTGAGCTCAAATAAACCACTCTGTTGTAGAGGGTGTTAAGGGAGATCCTTTACGACTGCATAATGTTACGACGGTTAGTCCTCAAATTTAGTATTTGACTAATATTACACTAATCTTAGGCGACAATTCAACGCTGCTTCTCTGCCCAAAATTTCTGCTAAGTGAGTCATTTGTAAAGTGAGTTTTGCCCCATTTTGCAATCTTTTTTGCCACAAGTGTTAAGTGAATCACTGCAGTTGTTAAGTCAGTAACTCGGTTGTAAAGTGAATTCGGCTTCCCCATTGACTTTGCTTGTCAGAAGGTCGTAAAAGGGGATCACATGACCCCAGGATCCTGCAACGGTCATAAATATGAGTCAGTTGCCAAAGGTCTGAATTTTGATCACATGACCATGGGGATGCCACAATGGTCATAAGTATGAAAAATGGTCATAGGTCACCTTCTGAGATCCCCTTTACAAGAAGGTTGATCCAGGGACTCACTTTCCATTTAGTGTGTGATTAAAAATAGCATGAAATATTTTCTTTAGGACTTAACATTTTGTAGCTCTACTCTCTCAAAACATCTTTAAGACAACTGTTTTGTTCTCAAAAGAGTAAAATAGAAACCCAGAGGGTCTACAGTAAAGAGGGACAAGGATAATATTCAATGCATTATCTTATGGTAGTTAACACATTTAACTATTACCAAGTTAAATGAACTGAAGACAGCAAATTAACAAAAATGAACAGTACATTCTTTTCTAGAATTCATTTCATTTAGTCAGAAACACGCTGTAACATAATGCATCATCCTCTCAATTTTATCACACACACACATACACACATATAAATAATTGTTATTAAAAAAATTAATGAGTTACAAACAATACAACTGTTGAAAAGGAAGCAAAATAAGGAAAATAATAGTAAGTGGAAAAAAAGAAAAAGTTATAAACTTTCTTTAAACTTTTTCATTTTATTACACTTCAAAAAGAGATAGCAACTCATATCTTGGATTATTATTTAAAATCGGGAGAATAACTTTCTTTTCAGTTATGTGGGATTATATCTTTTGTTGTATTCAGATTTTCATAAACGAAAGCATAAGAAGATAAATCCGATATAATTATTAGATTCAAATCCAATAATTCAATTTCACATTGCAATCCTTAAGAATTCTTTCCGATATTATATTAATATTCAAGTTGAAAGCCACAACATAAGATCAACCACATGAATTTAAAAAAATCTGCAAATTTCTTATATTATCAGCACAAGATTTTTTGATGCCTATCTTTTTAAAAGAATTCTGCAAGGAGTCCAGTTAACCTAGGAAATATTGTCTGATGGATTAGTTCCTTTCCTAATATATCACATTTTTAAAACTCCTGGACTCATCCATTTTCCAGAGGTGATACTTATTTGCTTACCAAACGAGCCCAAGGATTAAAATAACCACAATAAGTTTCATTCCAGGAAAACATAGGTATTCAGATAAAGGCCCAATAGTATAATCAAAAAGCTAGTTGGCTATATTCTCATAACATCAGCAATTTGATATTCTAAGGTCTTTAGCCTCCCAAAACAACATTCTCATTAAATGAGATATTTCCGTGAATTCACACTGGCATCACTCTTAAAATATTTATTAGTCTGGATTCCTGGATTATTGTTGTTTCATATTGTATATTACACCATAGTTCTTTTAACACACCACTGTCAGATGTTTATGCTCCTGTGTTATTACAAGAAGAAAATAAGAAAAAGTCTGTGATAATTTATATTTTAAACAACAAAAAGGACTTGCGGGGTGTGTGTGAAGTTTCCTTCTCCAAGCTTGTGGGTTGGTTTCCGAACATTTCGTTACCCGGCTAGGTAATGTCATCAGTGGAGTTTAGGGGATGTCAGTGTTCTGTTTATAGGGGCTTCAGGTGTGGGTGTGTCAAGTGAGGGTCTTGTGATGGGTCACGTGTGAGTCATCAGTGAGGGGCTAGTGATGGGTCTTGTGATGGAGAGCTTACATCAGGTGAGGGTCCTTGGGAGGTGAAGTGCTGGTTATGGGGGATTGCACGGGATGGTTGAGGGTCAGTGCCGTCCCTGGTGGGCTATGCGGTGGACTTGGATCCTGAGGGATTTATAGGCTGATTGTAGGTCGATGTGTCTGTGAATGGAATTGCTTGTGGGGTGCCAGGTTTTGACAAACTCACGAGCATGGCAGGGGTAGTATGGCCAATGAGTGTTACTCCAATCAAACTGGTGCTGTTTGGTGTTGGTGTAGGTAGAGATTAAGGATTTGGGATCGTGGTGTTTGACTGTTAGAAAAGGACTTTTTATTGAAGCTCTGGGCCTGATTTAAGATCAGCTGGATGATTGTCACCATGTATGACTTTCTTAAATAGTACTGAGAAAAGAAGATGCATTTCCCTCCGTGATCATAAAGAGCCAGGGTGGTACAGTGGTTAGAATGCAGTTACTGCAGGCTACTTTTCTGATGGCCAGCTGCTAGCAGTTTGGCAGTTCGATTCTCAGTGGCTCAAAGTTGACTCAGCCTTCCATCCTCCCAAGGTTGATAAAATGAGGAACCAGATTGTTGGCGGCAATAGGTTGACCCTGTAAACTGCTTAGAGAATGCTGTAGAGCAGTGTGAAGCGATATGTAAGTCTAAATGCTACTGCTATCATCTCATCAAGATCTTCAGAAAAATGGGAGGGGAGATCTCCTAGAATTGGGGATTTCCATGGCAGATGTAACGATGCATCCTTCAGGGTGAAGCTGGGCACAGGGGACATTCGTCTCTATAATGATTTATTCAGTCTTATTTCCTAGATGAGCCAGAACTATCCTATTTTCTCACCTTGGATATCTGGATATACCATCATGAAGAACAAAGCCCATTGCAGAAAACTTGCTGTTGTTTCTGTCCCGGCAAAAAACAATTCCAGAATGCTATGAGCCATGTTTCCATTATCAAAGGTAGAGTTGGGTTCACCGTGTTTCTAACAAAGGGTGAGATTTTAGTTAGAATTATTTATTATTTGGGTACCTTTGAGTTAGTCTTGACTCTTGGTGACTTCTTGACAAGTCCCTGCAGTTTTCTTGGCAAGATTTCAGAAGTGGTTTGCCATTGCCTGCTTCCTAGATCTGAAACAGAACGGCTGGCACAAAATCACCCAGCTGGCTTTGTGTCTGAAGTCGGACTTACCGTTTCCTGGTTTCTAATCTTACATCCTAACCACTACACTGAACTGGCTCTTTTAATTAGAATTTGGTATATGCAAAATCTATTTTTTTTCCGGGAATGGAACATTCCAAGGAAATCTGGAACTTCCCACTTTTTCTTTGGACCTTGCTGGTCCAGATGTTGTGATCCAAAATAAAGTCTAATTTTCTTGAAGCGAGTCTTCTACACTAGAAGTAGTTCATGGTGTTCGAAATGACACAGGATTGTCATTCCAGCAGTGAAACCCATGTGGGACATCAAGAATTACTTCCAGATGAAAGATTAATTTCAGGAAATCACTGAACCAGGTTAGCACGGAAGTGGAGAAGATGTAGAATGTTCTGGAATTCTCCGTAATGTTCCATTCTCAAACAGAATGTGTATTTAACATGTACAGGTCACACTGAAGATTGTCTGATCATTGTGCTACCTTCATTTCACGACATTAAACAGTGTTTTGAACATTTGGTTCTTATCTTTTAATAAATTTACAACAAGAAGCCATGAGACCAAAGTAACTTCAATTGATCATATGCATTAAGACTTTTAATAAAGATTTCCAAACAGATCACCCTTGAATTTGAAAAGTTTCTCGTTCAGAACACCTCCAGTTTAACTCTGACTGAATTATTCTGAAAGGCTCAAAAAAACCCTCTTGACATGCCTGTGTACCCAGTAGGCAGGACTAAAATTTCCAGAAGGATCCTTACCTTTTCTATCTCGAGTAGATACAGATCTAGGATATCCTTTGGCTGGCGCTGGGCCAAACCTTGGCTGTGTTTCTCTGCCTCTTCCTTTATAATTAATAAATCTTTCTTAATCAACTCTTGTATCTTCTGATGAGGTCCCGGGAGATGTTCCATTAGCCACGGAAACAAATCATTGAGCTATGTAGGAAGTAAAAACACACTCCTATCATCTCCCTGATGGGTTAGGTAATACAGGTAGTCCTCGACTTATAACTGTTCATTTAGTGACTGTTCAAAGTTATAACAACACTGAAAAAAAGTGACTTGTGACCATGGTTCACACGTACAACTGCTGCCGCATCCCCGTGATCACATGATCAAAAGTGAAGGGAGTCTGGGAGTTCACCCCGGGCATCATGGTGACACGGATGAAAGAAAATGAAGCTCTGTTTTCCTAGTCTGATTACGCTTCATCTAGAGACCCAAAGAGGTCAGAAAGTCGCCCTGGAGAGGCAACGCGGAGGAAGGGAAACCTTGGGAGTTCGAAGCCAAGGGCGGTTGGCCCAAACGGACTGAGGAAACTCTTCAAAGAGGTGGAAGAACGGCTGTCGGCAACTATGCAGACAGCCCAAGCCACAGACAGCTGGGGAAGAAGTGAAGAACCATAGCAGCGCCACCGAATAGCTGACTGTCAACAACGTGTTTGACCTGGGTGAGATTCTTCTTTATTTCTCTTCCCTATGGACTTTTAAAATATAATTCCCTGAATTGGATAACTTTTAAAAGTTAAAAAAAAAACACGGAAGACTTGGGAAGAAGAGAGTTAAAAGCGGCGAGAAATCTGGAATGGGGGACCAAAATTAAGGAATATAAAAAAATATGCAGAAAAGATTTAAAACTGATTGAAAAGAAAAAAAATGATAATCTGTTGTTGGACAAACAGAATGCAGCTGAAAGGCAGGTTAGTAAAAAAACACTTGGGGGAGCCGAGGGCATCTGGGTGGGGGCAGCGTGGCAACCTTACTCTGCATTGTGGCAGGAGGGTTAACGGCGGGTGCGGGGGACCCAGGAAGAGCTGAGCAAAGCAGGCAGAGGGGAGGCCGGGCAGATTACCGGTGGCATGGAGGCCGATTACAGGCATGATGGGACAGCCATGCACAGCAGAAGTGCTGCCCAAGGCCAGAGGGGAGGCCAGGTAGATTGGATGCGATCGGCCTCTGTACCAGGGCCTAGGACTGGGGCGACGGCGTGTATCCCACAGAGGGCTCTGCGTGCCACCTGTGGCACATGTGCCGTAGGTTCGCCACCATGGTCCTATGTGGTTTCCAAAGCATCTTCCCACTGTAGCCCTACATCCAGTGTTTAGTGGAAAAGGAGGAAAGGCCTCTGAAAAGCAGCTCTGAATCTCTGGCTGACACCTTAACTGGCCTATGACCAGGAACTCTCCATATACTACAGATGACAAATGATGAACTCATAAAATAAGCAAGCAGGAACAATGTAAGTTTGGAGAGCAATGTAAAGCAAACATTGGACATTTTTCCTCCCAAGAATAAATAGTATTAGCTTTACACTTGGAATTTGTCTGAGTCTCTGTGTAAATTAAAAGTTTAGTCTACTTGTCTAGATGTAGAAGCCACTCTAGTACAGCGGTTTTCAGAGTGCCAATAAGAGACTTAGAAAGTTCTAAGGACTCAAGAAGAAAATGATTACTCACCAATAAGAAGACAGAGTCCCCAAATTTTGTATAATTGCTAATGTCTTCTAATATCATCTGGAACTTTGGGTCTTCAGGAGAAAAGCAGTATCCCAAAGTCAAAAGGCAAACCATATTACAGACTGAACTCATGACCAATGGAAAAGGATCAATTGGCTGCCCTGTAAATGAAATTATAATCATCTTAACACCGTTCCAGCTGGGAGGAGCAGGACCTCTTTTTTATTTTTTATGTTTTTAAAATATTTTATTAGATTTTAAAAGGGTGGGGAAGGGATAAGGTTGGTAAGGGTGTTGGATGGGGTTGGGGAGTGAGGTTGGGATAAGAGTAGGGAAAGATACAATAGTGGGGTAACCCCCAACAACAATTCATCGCTTTAGCAAGCAGACTGTTATCTGGGTACAAATGTTAAATAACAGTACTAAAAAGTTATAATCACAAAAAATAATCATAATTATAAAAAATAAAAGTTAGTCAATAAATGTTTATCCTACTAGCTAAACAGTTACTACAATACTGAATAATTATAATCACTAATAATAACAATAGTCATAAAAATAAAGCTTAGTCAATAAATATCGTTCATCTTGTTAGTTTTACAATATTAAATAATCTTAGTTGGAGGAGCAGGACCTCTTGAAGACCGGAGGGAGATGGTTAGAAATATAATATGATTGTTAAAGCAGGGGTCCCCAGCCTCTAGAACAGGGCTTTTCAACCATGTGGTCCATGGGCACCAGGCAGGTGGTACGCGACCATCTTAGAAAAGGGGTAGCGGGGGAGAGGAATGGGCTGAACTGGTGGCAGCACCGCACAAGCCTGAGCGAGAGACGGCTGGAAGCTGCAGGGCTGTCAGGGCTCAGCAGAAGCGCCAGGATCAGTGCCACTTTCCAGCTGATCGGCGCTTCTTCGGGGCTGTCAGGGCTCAGTGGAAGCACCAGGATTAGCGCCAGGCTCCAGCTGGAACTCGGTTCTGATTCTGGTGCTTCTGCTGAGCCCTGAAGAAGCACCAATCAGCTGGAAAGCAGCACTGATCCTGGCGTTTCTGCTGAGCCCAGAAGATGCACCAATCAGCTGGAATGTTGCAGCATCTCCAGGGTCTTGTGATTTACATTCAGATGCTTGGCAACTGATTCATATTTATGACGGTCACAGTGTCCCAGGGTCATGTGAAGTGACCAAAACCTGCTGCAACCACCCAGCAGATGGGGGGGGGGGAATAAAAACCAAACATCCCTCCACCCCACCTTCGCTGCCAATCCTCAACAGAAATGCTCACAACAATGAAAACCTCGGACAGGAGGAAAAGCGCCACCGGGTGGGCAGGCAGATGTCTTGCACAGCTGTGGCTTGGGGGGCACTTTTTTCAGTGCCATTGTAACTTTGAACAGTCACTAAGCGAACTGTTGTAAGTCGAGGACTACCTGTACTTTATCACTTTTTCCCCTTTTTTGGGTCAAGTTTTTGACACCTTGCTAGACAACTGGTGGTACTCGGATATTGTCATATCCTAAAAGTGCTACAATGGGTGAAAAGTTGAAAAGCCCTGCTCTGGAACAGGGAACAGGTACATTTACCACTTGTGGTACATTAACGAGTGGCAGGTGGTATGCAGCCCTGCCTAGCCAAGTGTAGTGGGGGAGGGAAAGAGCCAGCGCAGGCAAGGACTTACTGTGAGAGAGTCTTCTGGAGCTGCAGAGTGGCTGGGGCGAGGCAAAGGCCCTAGGCTCACTTCTGGCTCACTCTCCCCCACGGGAAAAGAGGAGAAGGGGGGTAGAGACAGGAGAGCCTATAAAAGGAGGCAGTTTGGGCAGGAGTGGGAGAGAGAGAAAAAGAAGCAGCCTTGGAAGGTGGTGGAGTCAGCTCTAGCTACAGCAGAGGAGGAGGGTGGGGGGAGGGGAGAGGAGAGATCAAGCTGGCCAAGCAGTCCGGCCATGAGCTGATCTCCAACTTCTTGGCAGCCACCTATGTTGGCAACAAGAAACAGGCAAGAAATGCAGCAGGGGAGAGGTCACCCTCCATGAGAAATGGTAGCATTAGCTGGAGGTGAGGCATGGAGAAGGGAGGGAGATGGAGAGTAGAAGGATTCTTGTGTGCTTTTGTGACTTTGAAGTTCTGGGATTTGTGCAATGAGGGTTTTGTGTTCTTAAGGAGTGTTTGGCAATTTCTATTTGGCTGATGTCTCGTGTTAGCTTCTGTTGTTCTGCTATTGTTAGCTGTAAGTTTTGCTGCAAGGGATTTTGAAGTATTTTTCTCCTGAATGGATTTTGCCTGTAGCATTCCTTTACTTTTGAATGGAAACATTTGGGGAGGCTGCCTTAGCAGGCAGCCAGTACTTACTACATTTTTTTTTTCCTTAAGTGCCGGCTGCACTCCTTAACTTTCCTTTCTAGCCAGTAGCTAATTCTTAAAGGGGAATGTGCCTTTTTAAGCTAGTTCACTCAGCAACTTGTCTTTTCTGTCCCTAGAGCCTTTTTCTTGTTTGATGAATATATGGAAGAGGGATAATATGGGGGGGGTGTTCAAATTCTTCCTTCAGAAGGAGGTGGGCATGAGAAAGAGGGAGGCAGGGAGGGAGGGAAGTCCCGCCTTAGCACTTGGCCACCAGCAGCCCTGCCATTGACTTTGCTTGTCAAAAGATTGCAAAAGGGGATCACATGACCCTGGGACACTGTGACCATCATAAATCACATGACCCTGGGCATGCTGCAATGGTGATAAGTGTGAAAACTGGTCATAAGTCATTTCAGTGCAATTGCAACTTTGAACAGGTTTTTTTTGTTTTGTTTTTTTTGGTCATCAAATTTTTGACACCTTGCTAGGTGGTACTCGAATATTGCCATATCCTAAAAGTGGTATAGTTAGTGAAAAGGTTGAAAAGCCCTGCTCTAGAATGAGGCTCCCCCTTGAAATCCAGGTAGCCCCATTCTTTGGATGCTCCAGAAGGCTTTAAAGATCTACCCTGCTAATTTGGTTGAAATCCTTTACTGAATGACCAATATGTGTTTTGTGTTGCTGTGAGCTGGATCCATATTTCATATTTTTAGTTTGATTGTATCTTTGCCATTTTATTTCACTTTGTGAGCTACCCAAAGTTGATATGGCAACAAGTGATTCCTGCACTGAATGAATGAATGAAAAGGATTAGATTGAAAAACACACACAGAGACAAAACAAACAAAAACAAAAAACCCTGAGTCATGCAATTTCTTCCCAGTCTCCATATTCTCAAAGTACTCCTACCTTTTGTGTGTGCAAAGGTCTCCACCAGCTGATGGGTCACCTGTTCTATTTTACTCTCCATGTCTTTCTTCCCCACTCCCAACGTGCGTAGAGCAGTGAGGGTGAAACGTCTCTGCTGCCTCCAGTTGTGACCGTTTGAAAATGAAACCCCTGAGGAATCAACGTGAGATCCATACTTTAAAAATAGCCCCATAAGCATGACTTATAGTTTCCACGAATAATTGCAGTCTGTGAGGCAGAAGGATGGCAATCTGAAACTTCTTTGCAACCCTTTTGTTGTTCGTTTCCCTTGCATACTATTCACTCAAACAACTTGTCTGGTCTTTCCCATACATACGAAAGAGGGTCTAGGACAGGGGTAGGCAACCTTGGCTCTTTTATGACTCATGGACTTCAACTCCCAGAATTCCTGAGCCAGCCATGCTGAGGGGAAAGGGAGAGGCTTCCATGGTGAGCTATACAGGCTCAGAAATTCTGGGAGTTGAAGTCCATGAGTCATAAAAGAGCCAAGGTTCCCCACCCCTGGTCTAGGACAACTCAGCATGGCCAACTCGCCACAAGATAAGAGCTACCCTAATATCAAATAAATGGTGGAATAGAAACATTAAAGAAAGGATGCCAAAGGAGGAGCAAAGTGAAATGTGAATGACAAAAATTAAAATATTTTTATATGATTGTAAAAATTAAACTGAGTTCTTGAATTGTCCTGTGACAAAATGGCTGCAGCAAGTTGTCCTATTCTATACCCAAGGGTCCTTCCTGTTACGGCCAAAGAGAAGCACAAGAAAACAAGTAGATGTACAGTACATGACAACAACTTAGCCTCTGTAGATTCTGCAAACTATAATCAATAGTTTCAATGAGTTAAGAGTGTTTTTTTTAATGGTACACGTGATTGTCCACTAGCTACGAATCCATCTGGTGGTGATGCTGTCTAACCCATATTTTTCTATCTTATCAAATAATAGATTGTGGTCTACTTTATCAAATGCCTTACTGAAGTCCAAGCAAATTATACCCACAGCATTCCTCTGGTCCATTAATTTTGTCATACTGTCAAAGAATGTAATAAGATTTGTCTGACAGGCTGTGTTTTTGACAAACCCATGTTGGTTTCTGGTTATGACTTTGTTTGCCTGTAGATGTTCGCAGATTGGTTGCTTTGTGTGTTTCAAGAGTTTCCTTGTAAGACTGGAATAAATCTCGCAGCCATTTCTGGAAGTTTTATTCTGATGGGGCCCTTTGACAGATTTCAAGAGGGAAATTTTCATTTCAGGTTTATTAAAGTTAAATTCACATTTCATTAATAAAAAAGATAAATAAATTTGGGGCACTTCTTTAGCCTTGAAGCACACAAAGAGAAGCACACAACTGATTTGTACAAACCTACTGTCTGAACAGAAGCATTTCAGAACCAAAAGACGGGGCTGCTAAGCACAATTTCACATCCTGAAAATAACACCAAACATCCAAAGGCATTTCCCAGTCAAATGCTTCCTTGACCCTCTCCATGCTTGAACTTAATGTGAAGCCCCTGTAGCTTCTGCAAACTATAATCTATAGTTTCAATGAGTTAAAAGTTGTTTTTTTTAATGGTACACATAATCCACAATTTATGATCGGTCACTTAGTGATCATTCAAAGTTGCAAACTACTTGAAAATAGGAACTTACAACCCGGATCCAAAGTTACTATGGTCAGACCCTCCCCTCATGGTCACATGACTCTACTTTGGGCACTTGGAAACAAAGGTGTATTTATGTCCATTTTCAGAGTCCTGTGGTCGTGTGATTCCCTTTTAAGACAGTTTTGCTGAAAACCAGAATTTACTTGTTTTTTGGCAAAACTGCCACCGTGGTGTTTGCATAATGAGCACTGCACAAAACATCATAAAATTGGATCGGTCATATTTTTATAATCATTACAATTTACGACCCTAATGGACAGCCTCCATTATGGTGTAACCCGAGGACGTGTATAGAAAATAGGCAGCAGGATTGTATTTCTTTCTTCTACACCAGCGGTTCTCAACGTTTGTGGGACGGCGACCCCCGTCACACAAACGTTATGCGCATGCGCGGTGCGCATGAGGCGCCCCCCGTGCGCGGCATGCATGCGCGGTGCCGCCCCCGTGCGTGGCGCACATGGGGGGCAGGGGGCCGCGCGTGGCGCGCATGCACGGCGCCCCCATGCGCGGTGCACATGCGCAGTGCCACCCCCGGAGGCGCACTGCCATCCCCATGCGTGGCGCCACCCCCCGGAGGCGCGGCGCTGCCCCCCATGCGTGGCGCACGTGCACGGCACCGCCCCCCGGAGGCGCGGCGTGCCCCCGGAGGGGACAAAATGGCAGATCGCCGCCTTTGGCAACCCCCGAAAAGAGGTCGATCGACCCCAAATGGGGTCGCGACCCATAGGTTGAGAACCGCTGTTCTACACAAAACAAACTCCTGTCCTATTCTACTATCTTCATATTACTACAACTTTAAATAAAAATAGAAATAGCTGTAATCTACAAATTCCTGTATCTATACTCTATTTAACAGAATAACAGAGTTGGACCTTGGAGGTCTTGTAGTCCAACCCCCTGCTCAGGCAGGAGACCCTATAGCATTTCAGACAAATGGTTGTCTGACCTCTTCTTAAAAATCCTCCAGTGCTGGAGCACCCACAACTTCTGGAGGCAAGTTGTTCCACGGATTAATTGTTGTAACAGTTTGGAAATTTTTCTTTAAATTCTAAGTCGCTTCTTTCCTCGGTTAGTTTCCATCCGTTGCTTCTTCTCCTGCCTTCTGGTGCTTTGGAGAACAGGTTGATCCCCTCTTCTTTGTGGCAGCCCCTTCATAGCAATAGCACTTAGACCAGTGGTTCTCAACCTTTCTAATGCTGCGACCCCATAATACAGTTCCCCATGTTGTGGTGACCCCCAAGTGGGTGTAGCCACCAATAAGAGGGAGTAGGACAGCTAGGGAAAAAGGGAAAAAATGGCGGACAGCGTGGTTTGGCGACCCCCGTGAAATGGTCATTCGACCCCAAATGGGGTCCCAACTCACAGGTTGAGAACCACTGACTTAGACTTATCTACCGCTTTACAGCCCTCTCTGAGCAGTTTACAGAGTTAGCCTATTTGTCCCCCCAAAGTCCTCAATTTACTGACCTCAGAATGATGGAAGGCTGAGTCAACCTTGAGCCAGTGAGAATAGGCAATCAGCAGAATTACCTTGCAATATTATATTCTAACTGCTGCTTTACCAGGGCTCTTAGATATTGGAAAACTGTCACTTTCTTTTCATTAAACTAAACATATCCAATTTCTGCAACCATATTTTATATGTTGTAGTCCCCTAATCATCTTTTTTGCTCTTCTCTGCACTCTTTCTAGAGTCTCAACATCTTTTTTACATCTTGGCAACCAAAACTGGATGCAGCATTACAAATGTGGTCTTACCAAGGCCTTGTAAAGTGGTATTAACACTTCACATGGTCTTGATTCTATCCCTCTGTTGATGCAGCCCAACACTGTGTTGGCTTCTTTGGCAGCTGCAGCACATGGCTGGCTCCTATTTAAGTGATTGTCCACTAGGAGTCCACGCTCCTGCTCACAATTACAACTATTGAGCTATACAATACAGTAGAACCTTACTTTTCTCACCATTGAATTTCATTTTGTTAGATAGGGCCCAGTGTTCAAGTCTATCAAGCTCCTTCTGTATCTTAAGCCTAAGGTGACCAACCGTCCTCCTTTAGGGAGGACAGTCCTCCTTTTGTGAGTTCTGTCCTCCCTCAAAAAGTGTCCTCCTACATGTCCTCCTTTTCGATAGTTGAAGACTAATCTGCAGGGCTTTTTTTCCCTCATAGAACGCTCAGATAGCGTTCCGGCACCTTTTTTTGATGGTTTTTTTTTTCAATTTTTGCATGAGCTGTGCTACTCCCGCTATTGGCTTTCGAAAGCCAATAGGAATTGCTGCTGAGCATGCCAAAACACCAGCCTGGCAAACTTTGCACATGTAAGTTGTCTGCAGCAAAGGCGAATTGGCAGGAACTTTGCACCCCTCCCTGCTACCCAACTACGCCATCTCCTAATTAGTCCCAAAGATACCTGGAGGAGACTGGAGTGGCGATGCCACGGTAACTTTCTCTTGATCTTCAGCCCTGCTAGGGCAATAATGGCTGTAGGTGCAAGAGGCACGGGCGGCGGGGCTGCTGCGGGTGGTGGTGTGTGGGGCGGCAGTGGCTGGCTGCCCCCCGTGCTGTGGGAGCTGCGGGGCCTGCTCTACACGGGGCTGCGCAGGGTGGGTGGTGGTGCTGGCGGGGCGGCTGCAGGTGGGGTGTGTCGATGGCGGGCTGACCTTCGGGGCCAGAGCCGGCACAGCTGGTACTTTGGGAGCCGCGGGGCTCCCCGAGCTCTACACGGCGGGGCAGCAATGCTGGCGGGGCGGCTGCGGGCGAGGGTGTGGCATGTAAGCATAATTACAATATAAAATGTTATTGTTACAAATGTTTTTTATTATGCATTTATCATATTATAGTGTATTCTGTATTATTGTTGCAATGAATATTTTATTTTATTTACGATATTTTTTTCTTCAATTTATTTGTGTCCTCCTTTTCACTGTAAAAAAATTGGTCATCTTACTTAAGCCTATCTTCTGGAGTGTTGGCTATTCCTGCTAGCTTGGTGTCATCTGTAAATTTGATGAGTTCCCCATCTATCATTCCCCAACATCATTGATGAAGATGTTAAAGAGTACTGGGCCTAAAACAGAGCCTTGGGGTAGCCCACTGCATACTTCCCTCTATGTAGATGCAGTTCCACTGAGTACCACATGCTGAGTTTGGTTGGTCAGCCAGCTACGAATCCATCTGGTGGTGTTGCTGTCTAATCCACATTTTTCTATCTTATCAAATAATAGATTGTGGTCTACTTTATCAAATGCCTTACTGAAGTCCAAGCAAATTATATCCACAGCATTCCCCTGGTCCACTAATTTTGTCACTCTGTCAAAAACTGTAATAAGATTTGTCTGACATGCTGTGTTTTTGACAAACCCATGTTGGTTTCTGGTTATGACTTGGTTTGCCTCTAGGTGTTCGCTGATTCGTTGCTTTGTGTGTTTCAAGAGTTTCCAGCCATTCTGGAAGTTTTATTTTTATGGTGCACTTTGACAGATTTTAGAGGGAAATTTTCATTTCAGGTCTATTAAAGTTAAATTCACATTTCATTAATAAAAAAGATAAATAAATTTGGGGCACTTCTTTAGCCTTGAAGCACACGAAGAGAACAGCAACTGATTTGTACGAACCTACTGTCTGAACAGAAGCATTTCAGAACCAAAAGACGTGGCTGCTAAGCACAATTTCACATCCTGAAAATAACGCCAAACATCCAAAGGAATTTCCCAGTCAAATGCTTCCTTGACCCTCTCCACGCTTGAACTTAATGTGAGGAATAAATCATATTCACATTTTTGCAGTTAAATGACAATAAAATACCTTGGTTTTCAGAAGAACGTACCTTTACCTTTACTCATTTTTAAAAGAAAACTTGAAAGGGGTCGATCGGCAAAGTCTTGTGAATGGTTGATCACGCTTTCCTTCATCGCATGAAATCCAGAAATGACTACTATCGGTTTACGCCATAACCATATAGTATAAATGTCTCCATATTTCTTCCTCAGCTGACATTTGGGGCAGAAAAAGAGAAAACAGCTGGGACTTTACAGCAGATGAACCTTCATCACCTTTATATTGACAGAAGCTAGAATTACTATCCCAACTCCTCTGTGATCAAAAATGATCTGTTTCTGGAGAGTTTTGGATTAGATGCCAAAGACCACCCAAAGATGCTTTTTTCACGAGGCAACTTGACTTTCTTGTTTTTCTTTGAAGACGTTTCTCTTCTCATCCAAGAAGCTTCTTCAGTACTCACTGAACTGAACCGAACTGGTTGAACTGACGGTCAGAAGAAGCTTCTTGGATGAGAAGCAAAACATCTTCAAGAAAAAACAAAGTCCAGTTGCCTTTTGAAAAAGCACCTTTGGGACAACCGTAGCCTGGATGACTGAGACGCTCCATAGATCATCTGTGAAATTGTTTCAGAAGACTATTGACCACTTGGAAAATCGGACGTTGGGTCAGAAGAAGCCATACTCAGCACAAGAGTTCCGATAGCTTTTTCCATCAAGTGGACCGAGAATCTTGTCTCTTCCCGTTGAATGTCTCTCTGAACTTGAATGCAGCTTCATAGAGCTCCTTCCTGCTTTAGTCCCTCTCCTGGTTTTATCTGTTTTACCCCCATTGCATATATCAACTTCAAAGGGGATGGACAATGCTAGCGCCAAACATCTATAACAGCGGTTCTCAACCTGTGGGTCGGGACCCCATTTGGGGTCGAACGACCATTTCACGGGGGTCGCCAATCAACGCAGTCTGCCATTTTTTCCCCCTTTTCCTTAGCTGTGCTCCTCCCTTTTATTCTATTGGCTTTTGAAAGCCAATAGAATAGACTCCCTTGAATAGAATCTAATTCTATTGGCTTTCAAAAGCCAATAGGGACTGTCCAGGCTGCCTCTGCCCTGCTGAGCCCGCCAAAAGTCCCATTCTGCAAACGGTGCTGCGCCAGTTGAGTAGTCTTCGACTTACGACCGGTTGAGTAGTCCTCGACTTACGATTGGTTGGGGGTCGCGGCATTAAAAAGGTTGAGAACCACTGATCTAAAAGCATGTGGGATATATGAAGGGTTGGGGAGCAGTCCATTTTAGACCAAGCTGCTTTCCTCCTGAATTAAAGGCAGGGAGCCATATCAGTGAGGCTGTGAAGAAACATTCAGTTACAGCTGAAGCAGGGGGCTGGACTAGAAGACCTCCAAGATCCCTTCCAGCTCTATTCTATTCACTTTATGTCACGCTAATTGCAGTACTGTAACTACAGTAATTACAGGAATGGCCTTGTGGTTGAGTGATTAAGATGCACTTAATCCCACTTTGGTGGGAAAGTAACAGCACTCTGTGCCATCATGTTGGCCACAGGAACATAGAAATATCTTCAGACAGAGCTGGGTCAATGGCCTTGAAATGGAGATGAACACTGCCCCTATAGTAGGCAATGAGTAGTGGAGTAACATCTGCAGGGATTTTACCTAATTATACTACTAGTAACAATCTGTTCTCTACCCGTTTATCTGGCTTTTGAAGACTTGTCAGGGCTTGCTATATGTTTGGAACCAAACTCCATTCTGTAACTGAATCGTGCCCTTGGGAAAACAATTATTTGGAGACTTCTCACCATGGAAGTAGCATTATTTCACACATAACAAATAATCAGACGTATCTTATGTATGCAATGAAACAGTAGGTTTTCAGGCACTGCATGTGGAAACTAGTTCTTATCTTCATGAGGCAAATAAGCTCTTGTGCTCAGCTTCTGTGGCGATTTTGAAGGAAACTCTTTGCTCAGTCACTCATGCCCTGGCCATCTCCTGTGTGGACAATTGCAACACACTCTACATGGTGCTATTGTTCTGTAAGGCATCTGGAAGCTTCAACGGGTACAGAATGGGGCCCAAGGAATGGTGCATAGAACACCTCTGCTGTTTGAGCTACATCGGATGCCCGTTTGCCTCTGGGTCCAATTCAAGATGCTGGTTCTGACTTGTAAAGCCCTACATAGCATGGAGCCAGGCTAGCCATGGAACCCTCTTTCCCACGTTACATCAGCCCATCCCACCCAGTCAGGCAGGGAAGGTATGTTGTGGACCCCATCAGTTAAAGTTAAGACTGGTGGGGTCCAGGCAGAGAGCCTTCTCTGCCGTTGGCCCATCTTGCGGAACACCCCTCCCCCCAGAATGAGATAAGATAAGATAAGATAAGATAACTTTTATTGTCGTTTTTTTTTACTGTGGGCACAACAGCACACATCAAAAATGAAGTGTAGTTGCCCGGGGTTCCATTCTCTTACCTTTTTGGAAAGGGGTGAAAACCTGACTCTGCTGACCTTGCTTGGGAAGAACACGCAGTTAACACGCTGAAAGCCCCCTCCCCTTTCACCTTTTAATTACTTTTTAACATTGTTTTTAATCAACCTTCTTCTTCTTCTTTTACGTTTTAACTCTTATATACTGTTTTTATGTTTTCAAATTTTATTGTGCACTGTCTGACAGACAGACAGACAGACAGACAGACAGACAGACAGACAGATAGACAGACAGATTACCTTAGTGAACATATCTATAGACAACTTGGTCCCAGTCTGCCAGAGTCCACCAATGAAAGGAAAAGGAAGAGGACCAGGAGGGTAACGTCTGCTTGACCAGAGAAGCTTTCCAAAATCCAGGATCAGAAAACCCACCAGCAGAGCAGTGAGAACTTCCCAGATCCCTGCCATTCTTCAGCTTTCTCTTCTCTTTTCTGTTGCAAACTGAATCTCTCCTTGGTTCCGCAGCCAATGGTTATTTGCAAAATTACCTTTTTGAGCGTTCCAGAAACCTGGTGTGGATCTTGGAGTTGATCTGTACCAAATCTTTCTATTTCAGAGACAGAAAAACCAGTTATCTATATAAACTAAAGCATTAGCAAACTTACTTAAAAGTACAAAAAAAATGCAAGGTCCCAATCCCTTACCTGAACTTGAGATACCGTATCAATCTAACCAGATAACCCAAGCGGAGACTTCTTGGTCAAGCAGCACTTTATTTGATCAAGTCAAGCAGCTGGGGAGCCAACAATCTGGAATGCTGGCAGAGTTACATCCAAAAGTACCACATCTTAGAAAGTTAGAAGCATTGCTTTATAAACTCTGTTAGCCAATGAAAATCAGACAACAGAGCTATCAATCATAAGAAAGATATCCATCATTCCTGTACACTCCCTTAATCTCTCCTTTAGTATATCGAGTCCATGTACATGTTTCCCACGCTTGCATGAAATTTTTCTGGTGCAAAAGCCAATTACAAAAAGCAAGAAAGCAACAGTGAGATTAAACAATTTCCCTTTGTTCCAGAACCCTTCATTCCCCCCTTTAATTTTGTAACAGAATGCTTTCGGTTACTTGGTGACCAATGACGTATATTCCTTTGTTATTGCGGTGATAATCAGGACCTTGGCTGGCTTATGGTGTTTATCATTACTTATAGAGGATGCTATAACCGTCATCCCTAAGATGGTAGAAATAACTGTGATTTGGATAACAGGAATCAATGATAGCAAAACCAAAAGTCCTCTAAATGTTAAGATAACCAGAACATTTTTCCCTTCGCCAATCACCAGAGATCTTTCCAAACAACTTGTGTCCGTGGCAGCTGTTCAGGTCCATAAGGCAGACAGTTGGGGAATGTTTGCCATGAGAGTTTGAGGTTAGGCCAAATCGGTGGTAATCCACCAAAAAGATACTGAGGTGCTCACCTATAAGAGATATTCACACCTAAATCTCCCCAGGGTTTTTACCAGAAACATCTGTTTTTAAAACAGAGGCTTCCCACTATGGAAGTGGTCAGAATCCACATATTGGGTCTATTGGTGTCTTTTCCCAGTGAGATTTTGACTAGTCAGGGCAGTAAAAATTATTTCATGTGCTTCCCAAGGCCATTGTTCACCCATGCTAGTACCCACACACATATAACAGTTAGTCACATTTAGAGATGAAGCAATTCTTTTGGGCCAAATCAATAAAAAGATTCTTTGATACTGAGGGAATTTCAATTGTGGCTTCCAGTTCATCGTAAAAAGAATGAAAAACTCAAAAATGTTTCCGGGACGGTAGTAGAATAGTGTCAAATTGCACCCATATTTGTGTCTGGTTCAATCGATAGCTGCTCCAAATGATGATGAGAAGTCTGCTGGTCTGGTTATCTCGAAGCACATCGGGTTGCAGGAATCAGCATTGCACTGAGAAGTGCCGACTCCTTTAATCACATTGAATTTTCCTTTGATTGTGTCAGGTTGGGTAGGATGTAGTTTGTATTAAATGAGTAAGCCTGTCTCCATACTTAGTCTGTTTAGCTTGATTATAGTCACTAGGTTTACACGCATCAAAGAAAACTCTGGCACTATCCATAAGTCTCGTGTTATTCTTCTCAAGAGCTACAGTCTGTGCATCCTTCCATATGTCCTGGTTTGAAGTTGTTGGTAGGGCTTTACTGTATTGACAGAAGCATAACAAATGACCCTATCCTCTACTTTGCAAGTGGAATACGTAGTCTTGTTATAAACACAATTCCCTTTTGATCCTTTAATTATTGGGCCCATGGTCTGAAGAAGGTGTGAGGGGAAACAGCAGCAGCAAAGTAAAAAAAAATGTAGCAATACACAGTCTAGAATATTACAAACCCCAAGTTCCGGGTAGTCCAGTCCATTGAAGGGAGGACGGGATGCCATGAGCAGCGTGAGAGTCAACGTTACCTGAGCAATGCCGCCCAGCCCCCAGCCTGCCCAGTTTTAGCAGGCAGCGAGGCGCTCTCCTCACAGCGCCAAGAGGCTGAGCCAGGTGGCATGAATCCAAAAAGAAGTGTGCTGCCGCCCAGCCCTTGGCAGGCAGTGGGGCGCTCTCCTCACAGTGCCGAGAGGTTGAGCCAGGCGGTGCAAAGCTCACCAGCTTTGCACCATGCTGCCTGCTGAAACTGGGCAGGCTGGGGGCTAGGCAGCATTGCACTTCTCATCAGATTCGCGCCACCTGGCTCAGCCTCTTGGCACTGTAAGGAGAGTGCCCCGCTGCCTGCCAACCCCCCCCCCCGAGCCCATCAAGTCGGATATGTGAAATAGGCCAGGGCCATTTGCTGGCCACTTCCAGGCGATGGTGCATTTCTTCATTCCACACAAAGGGTAACACCTCCCCAGCACGCACCCAGGGGGCAGGGCCGACAGGGCAGGGGCTGGTTCCTCGCTGTTTCCAGACGGCCTTGTGGTGCTAAGACTGATTGTGTTTCAGCATAGATAGCCATCACAAAATTGTACATTGGCTCCCTCCCACCTGGCCAGGGCCAAGGCAGCGGGGGCTGTTTCCTCACTGTTTCCAGGATGGCTTCACGGGCCACATGAAACCACTTTACAGGCTGCATCCGGCCCCCAGGCCTTGCGTTTGACATGTCTGGGCTATAGAATACAATAGGCAATAGGCAATAGAATAGGATAGGATAGGATAGGATAGGATAGGATAGGATAGGATAGTTGGAAGGGACCTTGTATGTCATCTAGTCCACCCTTTAGGACAGAGCAAGCTTGAGCAGAGAGCAAGTTAAGGCAGAACCTCCTATGAAAGGAAAAGGAATGACTGAGAAATCATTTTAAAAGCCACATCAGTGACATCCTATATTCATTTTAATCTATTTTAGGATGGCCGGCAACGAGGAACAGCACAGATTTTAAAGGGCCGAGGATGTAAGATAACTCCTATTAGCGCTTCCTGACTGGGTTCTTCTGTGCCTTCTGGCCGCTGCAATTTGAAGGTCCTTAGCAGATTGGTAAAGAAAAGGAAAGATTCCATCCTGGTTAAGATTTCCCCCACACAAACACGAGCCCCTGCAAAGGAAATGTTAGAAAAAACAGACAGGGAAGAATAATATCCATCACAGAGAGGGCAGCCCTGGCATCTATCACGGGCAAAGATACCGAAGACTAAAATAAATTAAAAAATACAAGGTGGACCTGGAGAGAAGGAGCAAAACTCCTCTACATTTTAGGGGTCTTAACTTGCTCTCTGCTCTCTTTTCCTGTGCCAGTTTTGCAAATTTTTGAATTTCCCTTTTTTGTAAATTCCTTTTCTGAGCAATTGTTCCAACTCTCAGGAAATTTCTCCTTAGTTCTAGATTGCTTCTCTCCTTGGTTAGCCTAGAAATTCAGAGCTCATTCTGAACTAGCTTGCTTGTTGAACCAAGGAGAGAGGGGCAGGGGAATATTCACACAGCTTCAATACTTTTCCCACTGTGAAAATCTCAGATATTTGATTTCCATCTCAGAGTCCGGTGCCACCCAGTCGAATTCAGGTCCTGAGGACTCCTGACCATAACGGGTTATTTGTTGGGCCCTTCAAATAACAACCCCATTGGGGCATCGCAGCTGCCATTATTCAGGAGCTTCTGAAAGCCTGTGAGGAATTTGTGAATTATCTTGCTTGGTCTGTATGCCTTTTATGTGATGCTTTTCAATCTGTTTGCTTGAGCCAAGACTGAAAATCCTTTTATTTACTGTACTGTTTGCTGTCTTTGAATAAAAAAATAAAATTCAATCGCCTGGGCACCTGATCACTGCCCTGACATTGGCAAAACATCACTTTTTAAAATCAAACAGGGCAAAATGCAGGCTTTAACTGCAGGTTATTCACTTCTGGATTTTGGCACTGGATGAAAGACAGGTGTGCAGGTGTGTGCAACATTTTGGCTTGCCTGGCGGGCAGCCCAGAAGCAGCATGGGTTCAGCCGGTTCTACGAACTCAACAAAATTTAGCTACTGTTTCTACCGAACTGGTGCGAACCGGCTGAATCCCACCACTGCTATTGGGGACCCCTACTCTAGACCCTTTTCTTGGAAGATCCAGTTTCTGACAGAGAAGGGCATTGCCAGAGATCTCATCTGCTCTAAAAGAGAGGCCAGAAACTGGATTTCAAAAGAGCACAAAAGGAAGCAATCCAAACCTGCTCCCAGATTTATTTCTTTATTTATTTGCCTTCAAAACTGCTGGAGGCCCCATCATGGATGTCCCACCATTTTCTCTTCAATCCTCTTTCTTTCTTAACTTTGTTGCTTGTATCTTATGCTTGATATTGTTTGATTTAGTGTCCTACTATGATTTATGTAGTTTGCTTATTTAATATCCTATGACTATCACTAAGTGTTGTATCTTATGATTTACGATCAATGTATTTTTTATGATGACTAGGATCATGATTTATCACTTATTGCTTTTATGTATACTGAGAGCTTATGCACCTGAGACAAATTTCTTGTGTGTCCAATCTCATTTGGCCAATAAAGAATTCTATTCTATTCTATTCTATTCTATTCTATTCTATTCTATTCTATTCTATTCTATTCTATTCTATTCTATTCTATTCTATTCTACTCTACTCTACTCTACTCTACTCTACTCTACTCTACCCTATCCCATCCCATCCCATCCCATCCTAGTCAGTCCCTAACCACTAGGAAAATGATTCAGAGTTTACCTGCTCCAAATGGCATAAAGTAATCTATCTGATTACTTGCATTCATGATGGTTGCCTCTGATAATACATCTCTGTCCATTTCTATAGGTGAAAGAATGATGTTCCCTCCATACCATCTTTATAGAGGCACAAGGTCATTGGGTGACATCTGATGGCCCATGCTCTTCTTTAGACAAAGACATTCCAATCTGGCTTGTGTCCAGGAAGTCTCCCAATGCCCTTTAGAAACTCCTCCCACTGACCCATTAACATGGGATGACTGACTAGCTAAACTACATTTCCCATAATCCATCTCTTAAGGAGACAGCACTTAACCCAATATATGCCAGATATTCTAACATACAGATACATGCTCTCTAGTTAGGGTTACATATGTTTTTGTTATGAAATCATTTCTATTGAGTTTATCTATCTGGTTTGATTTAAGAAGGCATTTTAACTCAAGATCAGAATAATCCCGGTGAGACTTTTCCTTCTCTCTCTTTGCCTAACTACTCTCCTGTTAAAAGCCATTTGGAATTACTTCCCTGCTTTGAAAGAGCTGCCTTTGATTATCTGGGGAAAAGAGCTTTCCATAACAAAGGAAAAAACATCTTATTGACTATTTTTATTTTTGGTTACTTGGGGGCCCTGGAAAAATCCTTATCATAAAACTTTATTATTATATCTTCTAAGCTGGAGAATATTGTTTTCCTATGTCTTGGACTTATTTTTTTGTAGGGATAAATCTTTGTTGTTTGA